TTCAATTTTTTAAGTCCGAAGCCCGCACGGATCGCAGGTTAAACGAATAGCCCGCGGGCCTTAGCCCATATACCGAGCTCTATTCTCTGCTATTAATTACTGCATTAAAAGTTTCAACCATGGAAGCTCATGCCATAAACAAAAAGTGGTCACCTTTTTGGGTGCAAAACTAAAGTTAGCATAGCTTGCTAGGGGTTTATCAATGCTGGCTTTGGTATCAGGTTTTCTATTTAGTAATGCTTGCATGATTCATCCCCACTTTTTAAATCCCCCAAATAGGACCCCCTTGATTTTGTTCTTGATGTTCGGGTAGCTAGGTTTGCTCCTTAATGTAATTTAACGTCTATAGTTTCTTAAGCAAAAATATGACGTTGACGATATCGTGAAAAAGACGGATCGATTTTGACTTTTGAAGTAATTGGCAGTACCACTCGGACACTTTTGCTTTGTTTTTCTTCTTTGTGTAGTGGTACTGGTGGATCCACGTCTATCTCATATCTAAATTTTCTTTCGCTTAGTTATTTATTTTAGTGATAGTGTTAATCTCGAAAGTTTTTTGTGTCTTCAATTAATTATTTATTTTACTGACGATGTTCACCCTGAAATTTTATTTATATTTATTTTGTTTAAAAAATTTATGTTGTTAACTTATGTATGTTTACATTGAAAAATATTTCTGATCCGCACTGTGTTTGTGGCTACATATTATATATGTCCTACGCAGTTTCCATTGCATAGCAGCATTTGCAGAACTAGTTGAGAGAGGGAGAAATGGCTAAAAGCGATTATGTTCCACTCTTCGAAACAAAGCAAGTTAAGGGACGAATTCTTTTCCGGTTGATTGCAGCTTCAATATTTCTTGGCATATGCTTCATCTGTGTGTATAGACTATGGTTTTTCCCAGTTGAAGGAAAGGCTGAGAGAATCGCTTGGGCTGGAATGTTTCTTTCTGAACTATGGTTCATTTTTTACTGGTTTCTCATCTCAGTTTCCAGATGGAACTCTGTCTACCGTATTCCCTACGTACACAGACTCGCTCAAAGGTATCACATCTCCTACATATGTGTACATACAATGATATATGTATGTGTGTTCATTAGCTTTAATCTTGGAAAGGTTCGGGAAAGAATTGCCGGGGGTCGACGTATTCGTGTGCACGGCGGATCCGTTGTTAGAGCCACCGAGCATGGTGGTGAACACAGTTCTATCAGTGATGGCATACGATTATCCACCTGAGAAATTAAGCGTCTATTTATCGGACGACGGGGGGTCGGATTTAACGTTTTACGCCATGCTAGAGGCTGTGAATTTCTCAAAGACATGGCTGCCTTTCTGCAACAAATTCAAAGTGGAACCCAGATCACCCGAGGCTTACTTTAGGGCGGCTTTTGAACCAGTCGATGATCCAGTCAATGTCCAACACTGGCTTTCGGTCAAGGTAAACTTAAATATTTAACAATGGTTGGCTTTCTTACATACATCATGCAACTTGTTTGACTGTTTGCTTGCAATTTGCACCCTTTTACCAACTTCTTATTAAAAAAATGAAAACACGTGCATCACTGCTTACATAACCCCAACCTTGTTGACGAAACCAGTCAAATTCCAACTTTTCTTGTGCATGAAGTATCTCTCAAACTAATTATTTAATGAAATGTTGCACCTAATCATTTTAATTCCATTAAAATAGTAGAAATCTCGGTTGGATCCAACTTTTCGTCACTTTAGAGTAACTTAAGGGCCAAGTTATTCACATAGCTCCATGTGCCTGCTATAATTTTAGATTGTATTTGTTTGAACTGATTTTAATATATATATATATATATATATATATATATATATATATATATATATATATTCTTAATAATTATGCAGAAACAATATGAAGACATGAAAATAAGGATCGAGACCACCACAAAGTTGAACCGAATTCCAGAGCACATTCGAAAACAACACAAAGGATTTCAGGAGTGGGACTTTGTTTCGAGCAAACGTGATCATCAAACCATTCTTCAAGTAATTAATCATTCAATAAACACCTACTTAATTCATTAATTAAGCTCCGAATAGTTTAGTGTTATTAGCTAATGGTGCTTTTTTAGATCCTAATCGATGGAAGAGACCCCAATCCTGTGGATATTGAAGGAAACCCTTTGCCAACACTGGTGTATTTGTCAAGAGAGAAAAGACCCCAACACCACCACCATTTCAAAGCTGGGGCCATGAATGCCCTTGTAAGTACAATATATTATACAGGTTTGAATAGAAGGCAATTTAGTTTGCATGTTGTTGAATGATTTTTCGTGGTGAAAAATAGATTAGGGTATCATCAAATATAAGCAATGGCCCGATCATTATGAACGTGGATTGCGATATGTATTCCAACAACTCAGAGTCGATCAAATATTCTTTATGCCTTTTCATGGATGAAGAGAAGGGAGATGAGATCGCCTATGTACAGTTCCCTCAGAGTTTTGATAATCTCACCAAAAAATGAAACTTACAGTGCCTCTCTCCGAGTAATACAAAAGGTAATTAAGCCTACAATAGAATGGTAATTTTATGAACAATGATTATGCTTGATGGTTTTTTTTTCCGGTTATCTTCGATCTGTCTGACCTGGTTATGTCAACAATAAAGCTAGAGCTTCAAGGACTTGACGCAAATGGAGGGCCAATGTACATTGGCACAGGATGCTTCCACAGGAGAGAGGCTCTTTGTGGGAAGAAATTTGAGGAAAACTATAGGGTAGATTGGAAGAAGCCGAGTGATACAAAGGTTGAAGAAAGTGCAAGCCTCCTTGAGGAAACATGTAAAGTTCTTGCAAGCTGTACCTTTGAACACAACACACCATGGGGAAAAGAGGTGCATTTTGTTCCCCTTATGTAAAACATTAACACACATGAATGGTATGGATTAACATTTTTCAATGTGGTAATGATGATAAGTTTTTGATGGCAGATGGGTTTGAAGTACGGCTGTGCGGTGGAAGATATAGTTACGGGGTTGAGTATACAATGTAGAGGATGGAAATCCATGTATTTGAATCCAGAAAGAGAAGGATTCTTAGGAGTTGCTCCAATAACATTACTGCAGTTGCTGGTGCAACATACGAGATGGGGTGAAGGTCACCTTCAAATTTTCCTATCAAAATACTGCCCTTTGTTGTATGGATATAAAAAGATTCCGCTTAAGCTTCGACTCGGTTACTGTCCTTTCAACTTGTGGGCTGCAAATTGCTTGGCAACCTTGTATTATGTTGCTGTCCCATGCCTTTGCCTGCTTAAAGGCATCTCCTTGTTCCCCAAGGTATGAAGCTCCAGAGTTGTTAACTATCTATCTTGCAGTATGCCATATGATTATGAATGACTGAGAACCATGACAACATGCAGGTATCAAGCCCCTGGGTGCTCCCGTTTGCATATGTCATCTTCGCACACCGTGCATATAGCCTCGGTGAATTCATCTGGTGCGGCGGCACGGTTCGAGGTTGGTGCAACGATCAAAGGATATGGATGTTCAAGAGAACAACTTCATACTTGTTTTCCCTCATTGAAACCATCTTGAAGCTCTTGGGGTATTCACAACTATCCTTCATCGTCACTGCCAAAGTAGCCGATGAAGACGTCTTGAAAAGATATGATAGCGAGCTGATCGAGTTCGGTGCAGCTTCGCCGATGTTCGATATTTTAGCCACGCTTGCTATGATGAATCTGTTCGGTACGTTGGGGGCAATCAAGAAGGACCTAACGGCTGCAGATGAGGTTTTGGACCAATTTGGAGTGCAAATTCTGCTCTGCTTGGTTTTGGTAACAATCAACTTGCCTGTGTACCAAGCACTCTTTTTCCGAACGGACAATGGCAAGATGCCTATTTCAGTTACTTGTAAGTCTATACTTTTCGCCTTGGTAGCCTGTAGTCTAGCCATGTATTGAACAGAAAGTCACAGGTGCTGAAATTTGAACCTCAAACTAAATACCTAAATAAAGCTGTATGACCAATGGTTTAAATCCAGTTTTATGTATTTAGCCAATATGAGATTGCATAAAAGATCATTTATATAAGAGCATCACAACAATTTTATAGTTTATTTATAAAAAAGAACGCAAAATTAATAAATTTATTGAAACAGAAAAATATGTATGATTTGACTCTCAGACAATATCTTGTTTATCTTAACGGATTTATCGTAATAATACAGCGCAAAAGTCAAGCTTGGGATAAGAGTGATGATGTAATTTGATAATTAAAAATTATTATATATTTTAAATTTTTTTGATATATTTTTTATTAGAAATATATGTTTGTCTCTTTCCTAAAATTTTAAAAGTTCATCCCCTAAACATATATTCATATGTCCGTTCCTGATGGAGATAACTATGATTATAAATGAACTAAGCCAAACTCTAGTGTTGTTGAGTTTGATTTGACTCAAAAAATTTAAAATTAAACTCGACTAGGAAACTTACAAGCTTAAAATTACCAAGTTTGAATTAAACTCGAAATAAAAAAATTGAAACTCGACTTGACTCGAAAACTCGTGAACTTAAAATTTTTAAGCTAAATTTAAAATCAAAAACTAAAGATTGACTCAAGCTCGAAAAAACTTGAACTTGAAACATCTTCAAATTTAGTTAGATTGAAGCTCAAACTTGAACTCGAACATAACTTTAAGTACATGAAAGTCTTATTTATAACTTAAAAAAATAACATATAAATGTTAATATTATTAATAATAAAAAAATAAAATTTAATATATTAAATTTTATTTGTTCGTTACCTTTTGGGGTCAAATATCAAACTTATTTTGACCCGTTAAAAATTCAAGTTAAATTCGATCTCGAATCAAATTCATTCGATTAGAGTATTGATAGAGAATTCGTTAAATCAATATGGAATAACTTACTATTTATCTAGGTACAATACCCTCACAATTAAGCATTCACATTAAACCGAACAAGACTTATCCCAAAAAATATATATCTATTGCCTGATTAAAGCATCCTTTGTGGGGAAATACAGTGAGACCATATTTTGAACACATCCAAAGCTCTAGCAATGATGAACAAATTATCCAATCCAGAGGGTCCCGTTGTGTAATCTGCACCGCTCATTGAAAGCAAAGACGGGAAGAGATATGGGAAGCAGAGTCCATCTTCCTCTTTTCGAAACCAGGCTTGCCAACGGCCTCCTCTTCTTTCGATTCTATGCAGCTTCCATATTCATCACCATCTTCTTCATTTGTTTCTATCGACTCACCTGTTTTCCACTCCAACAAGGCAAAATCCAGAGCTTGTCTTGGTTCGGAATGTTCCTGTCTGAACTCTGGTTTGGTTTTTACTTCTTCACCACCGTTGTTGTCAGGTGGAACCCTGTCTTTCGTTCCACTTTCAAGAGCAGGCTTTCTTCCAGGTCCAATTCTTTCATTTTCTTCCTCATTTTCTTTAATAGGTTAGTCTTAGACATTGAAGAGATTCAATTTCTTACAAAAACAGGTATGCTGAAGAAGCTTTGCCGGGTGTAGACATTTTTGTTTGCACGGCGGACCCCGTGATAGAGCCACCCATAATGGTGATCAATACGGTGTTATCGGTTATGGCTTATGACTATCCGTCTGAGAAGCTGAGTGTGTATCTGTCCGATGATGGGTGCTCGGATCTAATGTTCTATGCTTTGTTAGAAGCTGCACGTTTTTCCCGGGTATGGCTGCCGTTTTGCAGGAAGCTGAAAGTAGAACCCAGGTCGCCGGAGATTTATTTCAGGAATACTGTTGAACCCAGTGATGATTCTGCCGTGTCCCAGCGCTGGTTGCTCATCAAGGTAACAAGCTTATCCTTTTCCTAAAATATCAACGTTACATCATGCCACTATCTTGGTAGGGTCGTAAATGAGACGTGATAGCAACGAAAGTTCAATAAATACTCTACAATATTAATAAGTAAATCAAAATATAATATATTTAGATTTTATTCTTTTAATAATAAAATTTTAATAACATTAACATTTATTTATTTATCTAAAAATGTTTTATTTAAGGTTTTAGTTTGATTGATGGAGTTATGAAATCTTTAGGTAAATATGTAGATGCTTTTTGCTTCTTTCTGGATGAAGAAGGGACGTGAGATTGCTTGTGTAATATCCGGAGTGGATGTAAGAAATTGATTCGATATAGAAAATTGATTAAAATCGACTTGAGTTCAAATTACTTGTGATATGAGGTGGTGGTGGTGACTCGAAATTAGTTCAAATCTGAATTGATGTTGACCTAAACCAAGTTATACCCGGTTATCTTGGACCTAAACTCCACCTCTACTCGACCCGAATCAAATAATTTAATCTGAAATTGATGGATTTTGACCCGATGCATTTTGATAAGGTTGTTTTTTTTAAAAAATTGAGCTCGAATCAGGTTTTATATAGGGTGAGCTCAGTCAAGTCGGATTCGGGTGGACGGTGAAAAGCCTATAACCTAACCTGAGAATAATAGTACAGGTTTTTTCATGTAAATTTATGGATAATTTCTATAATACTTGCTCTCTCTCTATATATTTTTTTTATTTGGGTGTTTATTTTATTTCATGTCGAGTTGGGTTTATACTCTAAAATTTTGGATTGATTCGGGTTCGGGTAGAAAAATATGCTCTTCATGTTAGGTTGGGTTAGGTGGAGGGTATATTTTTTTGGATCGGATCATATTCGGATAAAGTGTATATACTTTTTTGGATCGGTTGAGGTAGGGTTTTGGCATCGTGAATTCCTTTCACATGGATACTCCGGGACTAAGTTGAATTTTCCAATCTACTTTTGTATATGAATTACAGAAATCTTATGAAGAAATGAAGATGAGGATAGAAACGATGGCAAAGTTGGACAAAATTCCAGGTGACATACGCAAGGAACACAAGGGATTTCGCGAGTGGCATTTCGTTTCAACCCGACATGATCATCAATCCATTCTTCAAGTAATTAATTGCATGCACTTCACCCTTGTTTTGATCCAAAACCATCACTTTAGCCTTCAAGTTTTTAAATAAATAGCTGGGCCTGAACTTACAGATCATAATTGATGGAAGAGACCCTTCCTCCATGGATATCGAAGGAAAACCTTTGCCAACCCTCGTATATTTGGCACGTGAAAAAAGACCTCATTACCACCATAATTTCAAGGCTGGAGCATTGAATGCATTGGTAAGCTTCGAATCATTCATATACTGTAATACTATATCTGTTGTTGTTGAAGCAAATTATTGCAGATAAGGGTGTCATCCAGAATCAGCAATGCGCCGTTCATCCTTAACGTAGACTGCGACATGTTTTCGAATAATTCGGAAGCCATCAGAGACGCTCTTTGCTTCTTTCTGGATGAAGAGAAGGGACGTGAGATTGCTTATGTGCAATATCCACAGAGCTTTGACAACCTCACTGAAAATGATATCTATGGCAATTGCTCCAGGGTTAGGACGGGGGTGAGCATCAAGTAACACAACTTTTAATATCTCGATCGATTCCGGCTAATGGTATCGAGAGAGTTAATGTTTTCGAAATATCCATACGTGAAGTTGGAGTTTGCAGGTTTTGATGGGAACGGAGGACCTCTCTATAATGGAACCGGATGCTTTCACAGAAGACAAACTCTTTGTGGAATGAAGTATAGAGAGGATTTCAAGTTTGAATGGAAGCCAATGGAGTATGGCAGAAACACTAAACAGAGTGCAAATGTCTTGGAACAAAGTTCCAAAGCTCTTGCAAGTTGTTCTTTTGAAGAAAATACACAATGGGGAAAGGAGGTATTCCTTAATCCGATGATTTAGTTAATAAATGACGCGTACAGTCGCATAACTCGAACCAAATATGCCTATGAATCAATGAATCCGAAGATGATTTGTACATGTATGAATCATTGCAGATGGGATTAAAGTATGGATCTATAGTGGAGAATATACTCACAGGATTATCGATACAATGTCGAGGTTGGCGGTCCATCTACTTCAACCCCGAAAGGAAGGCGTTCCTTGGAGTTGCTCCGAAAACACTGCTGCAATACCTAATACAACAGAAGAGATGGGCTGAAGGTGACTTTCAGCTCTTTCTCTCAAAGTATTGTCCCCTTATCTATGGACACAAAAGGATCCCTCTAAAACTCCAGCTTTCATACTGTCTCTACTTTCTGTGGGCTGTGAATTGCTTAGCTACACTATACTATGTTACTGTCCCTTCCCTTTGTCTTGTTAAGGGTATCCCTCTGTTCCCAAAGGTAACTTTCTTGTCTGAAAAATTCTTAGATTTAGTTTTGGTTTCCTGTTCGTTGCATACAATGATAATCTCATGTTGTTTTTATCCATTAGATGTCATGCCTTTGGGTCCTATCATTTGCATATGCCATGATTGCCAGTTGTATGCAAAGCCTGGGAGAATTTTTATGTTGTGGAGGCACAATCCAAGGTTGGCTAAACGATCAACGGACGTGGATGTTCAAAAGAACAACTTCCTACCTGTTTGCTTTCTCCGACACGATAATGTCGATGTTCGGATTCTCGGAGTCAACCTTTGTAATCACTGAAAAGGTGGCTGATGAGGAAATATCTCAGAGATATGAACAAGAAGTCATGGAGTTTGGCACTCCTTCGGTAATGTTCACGGTATTAACAACGCTCGCACAACTCAATCTGTTCAGCTGCACTCTGGGGATAAGGAAGGTAGTCACCGATGATGTTCCGATAAAGATTTTGGACCAATTTGGTTTACAAATGATTCTGTCCAGTGTTTTGGTGTTGTTGAACCTGCCTATATACCAAGGGCTCTTCTTTAGGAAGGACACTGGTAAAATGCCTTCCTCTGTAACATACAAATCAAATGTTTATGCTCTTTTGGCTTGCACAATAGCCATGTACTAGGACTGAAATTTAAATTTTGAAAAGTATTGGGATTAAAAATCAAAATATCATAGTGTACATACTAAATCCGTAACTTGCACAAAGTACCAGGACTAATAATTGAACTTGCCAATCTACTTTTGTATGACTTGTAGAAATCTTATGAAGATATGTAGATGCTATTTGCTTCTTTCTGGATGAAGAAGGGACGTGAGATTGCTTATTGTGTAATATCCAGTATGGATGTAAGAAATTGATTCGATATAAAAGATTGATTAAAATCGACTGGAGTTGAAATTACTTGTACTCTGATATGACGGTGACTCGAAATTGATTTGAGTTTGAATTGATGTTGACTTAAACTCAAGTTATAACTAGTTTATCTTGGACCCGAAACTTGACTTAAATTTGAATTAAATTTGATAATGTAATAATCGATCCCGAGTTGCATCCACCTAATGCGAAACTCAACCCGAGATTAATCTAGTAAATAATTAATATAACCCAACTTAAAGCGATCCGATATCTGATTTTAGTGAACTTATAATTGACGAGACCTGAAATTTGACCTAAATCTGAATTAAATTTAATAATGTAATAATCGATCCCGAGTTGCATCCACCTAATGCGAAACTCAACCCGAGATTAATCTAGTAAATAATTAATATAACCCAACTTGAAGCGATATGAAATCTAATTTTAGCGAACTTATAATTGACGCAACCTATTAATTGGGCTGACTTATAAATGATTCAACTATTATTGAATCGATTTGATATTATCCTAACTTAATATTTATATGACTTGTAAGTTGTAAACTTGTAATTGACAATTGACAAAATGATTTTTCATCATTTAAGACACATGATTAATCATGATCATTATATTAATAAATTTGTTTTTTATAATATAATATATAAATATATTTAAAAGTTTAATCAAATTAATAATTTATCATCTATAAATATATTAAAAATAACTATTCATCATTTAAGACACATAATTAATTATAACTATTAAAATAATATTTTTAATTATTATCGTTAGATTACAAAATTTATTTTTTATATTTGTAAATTGTAATCAATAAATTATTTATGTTTTTATATCACTAATAGTAATAACTTTAAATTATTAATTTTGTTATTTAATTTTTTTGTTAAATGGTTCATTTATTGATTATTAATTTTATTAGATTAGGTTGTATCTGTTTAAAACAATGTTTTTAAAACCGGACCGAACCTTGAACCGGTGAAGGTACTGGTTCACTGGTCCAACTGTGGTTCAACCGATTTGAACCGGATTTTATATAAAATAATTTTTTTTTTAATTTTACATAATATTCAAAGCAATATTACTATATATGTAACACTTTTTTTAAGTTTACAATATTAAAAGGTATAAAAATATCACAAGTCATAACATATATATATATGTTAAAAACCATAAAATCAAGTGAAACAAAATGATTCAAATCAACTACAACATAATATTTAAGGTAAAATATATTAAATAATAAATATAATTATATAACTATAATCAAAAAATAAATTTGGGGCTGAAAAAAATCATAACAAACGATGTCATTTGGTTTAATTTTTTTTAAAAACAATCTCACATGGCTAAAAAACATAGAAGAGCATCCCAAAAGTCTAAAGAGTAAAAATATGAGAACAAAACAATCCTACATGGCTAAAAAACATAGAAGAGCTTCCCAACTGACTTATATAAATAATAGAGGTAATTTGGCATTCAAAATCATGGAGTATTTTGGTGAACACAGAGCGAACTATTCTTTTGCTTTAATCGAGCTCGAATTTCAAGCTTCAGTCGAGCTTCTAATTTTTTTTTTTGAGTTCGAGCCTTTTCGAGTTCAAGTTTCAATATTATACTTTGAGTTCGAGTTGAACTTGATAATTTTTAGCTCGTGAGTTTTTGAGTCGAGTTGAGCTTACTTTTAAAGTTTTCGAGTTCGAGTCGAGCTCAGCAATACTCGAGTTCAACTCGGCTCGTTTAACAAATGACGTCGTTTGGTTTAATTTTTTTTAAAAAAGGAAAAAAAACAGCACCGGCGGTTCACATCAGTTTTGTCGGTTTTCAGCCGGTTCACATCGGTTTTACCGGTTTTCAGACGGTTCTACTGGTTTTCAACCGGTTCATTGCAAAACTGGTTTTGAAAGTTAACTGGATCGGACAGGCCACTGGTTCACGGTTCAACCGGTTGAACCGACCGGTCCGGTCCGATTTTGATAACTATGGTTTAAAGACAACTCTCAACTATTTGACACTAAACGCTCACATCTCTAACATTCTTGGTGTCATTCCAGAACATCAAGGAATAATAACAATTACTTTACCATTGAGATCGCTTGGTTCATGCTTTAGATTATACATTAGATTATATAAAATAATTTTAAAATAGTAATAAGCGTAATCCATTATAAATAACTAGAAAAGCAAGAATCAACTTACCTTAGTGGTTGAAGGAATCGTCGTTATTCGTCATAGGTTCAAGCACCAGTAACTGCAGTAAGGTGATTGAGCATTTATTATCAAATAATTGAGAGTATTTAGAACATATATTACTTTGTAATCATTTTAGCTCAATAAAAAAAACTTAGAAAAAGAAGATAAAAGAGGCAAGACTTCCATTTTAAAATTTTACTGAAATTAAAAAAAAAGGAAGAGAAAATTTTTCCATTTTAGAATTTCATTAAAATTTTATGCATATAATTATATTAAATCAAAGTTTATGAGTAAATTTAAGCTTTTAACTAAATTTGATCTCTACTTTTTAAATTTTTTTTATAATTTCGTCTAATAATTTAATATGATGATACTTTTGTTTATTTTATTCAATAAAATTATATGTTTATTTGAAATTGGCCTATATTTATTTCAATTTTTATATTTTAGTCCAAACTCTATAAAATAAATGAATGCAATTTAGTTCGATATGTTGTTGATTTCAGTTATACATTTTGTAATTGTTTCAATTTGATCCATGTGTGTTGTTTAATTTATTTAAATTTCAGTTTGTAATTTCATGTTTGTCAATTTAATCCTTAAAATTATATTTTTATCCGAAATTAACCCATATTTATTTCAATTTTTGTGATTTCTCAAAATCCTATAAATAATATCATAATCTCCAAACCTTATAAATTAAATCGTAATCTTCAAACCCTATACACTTTTGTTCACCAACTTTTCAAATGAATGCAATTTAGTCTAATTTGATATTAATTCCAGCTTTACATTTTACAATTATTTCAATTTGATTCATACACGTTGTTTAATTTATTTAAATGTTGGTTTGTAATTTCATATTTGTTCAATTTAGTTTTAATTAGTAGTTTGCAAAATTTTTTCTATATATTTAAAGATAATTATTATGATGTCTATCTTTATTTATTTTTTTAAATTACCTAGCTATGGCTATAGCCTATGACTATAGCTATAAGACTATGGCTAAAAGTATATAATACAAAGCTATATAGCTATAACATATATATATATATATATATATATGCACGGACTAAATTATCTCAGTAGTTAAACGGATGATTGTTTTTCTTAGAGGTCTCAGGTTCGAGAATCAGCATCTGTAAACAGAGGTATCTGAGTGGGTTCATTGTCAAATGACTTAGAATCTTTAGAACAAATACTACGTTGTAATCACCTCATTATATATATATATATATATATAATACAATTAGACTCTCGTGAAATACATAAAATAATTCACCGAAAATGATTTGACCTAAAGTCCATATGTACCTGGTAAGACTCGAATTGTAGTTCACTCGAAACTAATATTACTTGACTTGATTTTTTTCGTCAACAACGTGACCCGACCTGAAAAAGACTCAACCCGAAGTTCATCACAACCTTGGATTGGCATGGGTTGGGTTGGGTCATATTTTCGATCGACCTAGCCCGGATAAAAAAAATATACACCATCTACCCGAAACTCGACCCAAGTTTAGGGTGACTTCACTCGACCCAAACCCAACCCATATTTTTTAGATAAAACTCCAAACCCGACTCGACCCAAAACATATATTTAGAAAATATTAATTTTATTATATAAAAATATGATTCTAGTTGAAAAATAAAAATAGAGAGAGGTCTTATTGTAATTATCCCCAAAAATATATAAGTTATAATTGTATTACTTTTTGGGTCGGGTCGGTTATTTTTCATCCTAAACTTGAATCCAACTCAACCCATCATATCTCCTAAAAAAATCTAACCCAAACCCAAATTTGTTTTAAAAATTTCAACCTAATAGGGTTGAGTCATGTTGAAATCCGTTGGCTTTAGGTTTCGTGTCGATCTCTATCATAACTTGAATTAATATGATATTTAACTAATTTGAACCCGAATCATTTTGACATGAATTGATATTGACCTGACCTGAAATTAACTCGACTTAAACCCAAATTAAGTCTAATTTGAAATCAATTCAAACTCGACCTGACTCAAATTTAACCATTAAATTCACCTATCATAATATGTACCTAATTTAACCTGAACATGACCTTACTTAAAACTTAGACGATTACCTAATTTCACATCTTTAATATCCTCGTAACTTTGATGATCAGATTATCCCCTAATCGAGTTTGAATTGATATATTTTATTAATTGTTTTATTTAAATTAATTTCTTCTTTTGAAATACTTTTAATCATCTTCTTAGGACTAGAGAAGCCAAACACATACTTCTCTCCGTTATACACGATAACCGCTTTCTTGGCTTAACACAAAAATAAGTGTCTAAACTTTACCTCGAAAAACGTCTTAGTGTCTAAAGATTTTTTCGCTAAAAATAGGTGTCTAATGTTTCAAACGTTACACTTTTAGGTGTTCGGATGTTAACCACAGTTAAAATCTAAGCTAAGCCACATGTGTAACGTTCTAGTAATTTTAAAAATTTATTTTAAAAAATAATTTTATTAAAAAATAAATATATTTTAAAAAAAACCTTTTCTTAAAAAAATCCTCCCACCTGGTCCCTTCTCTTCTCCCTTCTCCCATCCC